GACAATCAGTGTTAAAAAAGGCTTTGGAAACCTTTCACATGTAAATTGAACTTTCCACCTGCTCCAAATAATCTTAAAGTTAGGACTTGAAAAATGGGTATAGGAAAAATACTTTAGAGCATGACATAAGTTCCTGAAAATGGCAGAGTTCTTCACCTTAAATGTTTTCAAGATTAAACGGACAACATCAAGCATATTTCAGGAATATAGTGGAAATACCCCTTTCCCAACATTTCCTTTTAAGTAATCCAGTATGGGATGCTGAGCTTTCAACTACTAAGCCACACCTAACTGAGTGTACCAAGACATACTTCCTTTCTAAGTGCTGTTCTCTTCTCTGGAGTATCTGTTGCTTTCACATGATAGTAAGTAAATCAAGTTCATCAACTGGGTCTACCTTTGAAAAGAGAGTGAGTGAAGAAAGATGTTTTAGGGCTCCCAGAAGCATCTGACTGACACACTTAGGCTGCTTAGGAGTGCAATGCAGAGCCTCTCCAACCACCCCCTTGAGGCTCTGCTCAAATAAGCCATGATTACTGGGCATCTACAGCAAACTAAGCAACTACAATGAGGAGTAAGGTACAACAATTCCTGTTAATACTGTGTAAACCTGTATTTGTACACACCTGCTGCTCTGTGATTGGAAATAAACCAGGGCTGGAACACATTTTCTGGAGTGGTTTGACTCTTTATTCCTCAACGAACGTTCTGGCCCTTCCTTAGAATCCGACCAAGACTAGGATTCATCACAACTAGTGCTCCAACGTGGAGCCAGAATATTTTGTGTGTGTGGAAAAATCAAAAATTGTCATCAGGCACAGCAGAAACCTCCTTTCTCTACTTCTCCATTCGGACTTGAGGAGTTTTACACGTTTGCCTAAGAAACAAACACATGTCAAGTACTACACTGTTACGGAATTAGTTACAGAAAACAAAACTGGGAAAGACGGAATTTTCTGTTACACATAAAAGTACAAAATGACAGGAAAAAACATATTTCAGAATAAGCAACTTTCTTAGCAAAAGAGCATGGTCTCAAAAACAACCCAAAGCAGTAACAGTAACCTCAAAGGAAAAATTTTAAACATATTCAAATGCAAATTCATTGATTTGTCACCAAAAAGCAACAGAAACTGATACATAACACTTATTTTTCTCAAGTATATCAGCAATCTTTAACTATGATAAAACAGTAACTGAAAAGTTCCTTGCAAATAAGTCCATGGATAGACCTGTGACACAGAAAAGAGCCATGAAGTCAGAATACAATTCCTTCTAAATGAAAGATTTGAGTGTGCTCTTTCAATAGATGTTTAAAGTAAAAAAAAAAAAAACCACAAAAAAAACCAACCTCACAAAACCAACCAAACAAAAAAACCAAAATACCAGCCCCCCCCAAAAAAAAAGCTTATAGAAAAATGTGAGCATTCTGAGGAGAACTCTACTTACAGTCATTTCTATGGTTAGTAGGTTACAGGAAACACCATAAAAGATCAGATGACACATTGCAAAAGACAATATTCAATTCAGACAGCTAGTTCGTTATTCAGATATTTGAGGTAGTTTTTGGACCTGCTGATAATGATTGCTTCTGAAAAGGGTTACACAGCACCTCAAAAGATCACCTGAATTTCTTTAAATAATGCTTACAAAATTATTATTATTTCCCTTTTTTTTCTTTAGACTTTGTAACTTAAATGTTATGCTGCAGATCACCAGAAACATACAATATTAAACTCATAACATCAATAACTTGTTGCTTTAATAAAATGTCTACACATTTAAATGCTATGAAACACATTAATATGGCTCTGTATTCATATTTCCTTGAGCTTGATAGTTTACAAAATAAAAATTGATACAACTCACTGGGACAGTTATCATAGTGTATATCTGATGGAGACATATGAGTTATGTCAAGGCTAAATCTAATTCATTAGTTTTTCAAATTTACTTAATTACTGTTCTCTTCCAAAAGGTAATGCCACTACAATCCACATACCTAAACTTTCTCAATGTTTCTGGAACTCAGCAGAGAAGTTTATAGTAGAATTGTTTTAACTTAACAAAATATTTCATTTACAGACAACAGTTTTATATTAAAAGAAGACTTAAACATAAACCTTATTTTACTTTCTGTAACAGATAATAACTGTAGCAATTCAGACAAGGATATATCCTCTTGAGGTTTTTGAGGTGATCACAATTCCATAGTGGGACTGCAGCATGGCGGCATAAAAGACTGCAAGACAATTAATTAAATAAATGTAATTTTCTTCTCTTTTACACTACTTATTCCATCTAGTCATCTCAAGTGGGAGATAAAAACAACCTCTTTCCCTTTTACAGATGAGGAAACTGAAGCATTATAAAGAGTCATGCTACTCTTCCAACTGTGAGAAAGCAAATGGAGAAGGAGGGATGGGAACGGAGTCCTTCTGTCTTTGGCTTTATCTGACCTCACTTACCTAAACAAAAGCCTACTATTGTTCTTGACTGGAAAGGAAAACTGTAACAAGCAGTTTCCTGTGTTTAATATTCTAAAAATGAAAAACTAAACAAAACAAAACCCCAGCCTTGGTTTAAAACTAGGCTGAGATTTTAAATTGCCTAATAGGTAAAATGGATTTTTGTCTTTAAATATATATTCCAGAAATTAGGTAAGATTGAACTTCAAATTATCCCCACTAAAAAATTAAGTAGTCTAAATTCATCACATTTTATATCTTTTTCCTCTTCAGATGTTCACGGTGTGTGTGTTATTTTTTCTGGGATTTTGAATGGAGAGTAACAAACCATTTGGATGAGATCAAAACAGAAATGTAAATTATTTCCTTACCTGTAATTTTATCTTCTCTATGAGGATACCTGCTGCTCTGCTAGTGCTGTACTGATGTGTTTTCTGCCTTTGTCCCAAGCTTCAGAGATTCCTCTGGTGATTTTTCCCCACTTGCTTACCAGCTTCCACTGCTGGCATTTTGAGGTAGTGCACTCACATTTGGCTCCAGGAATACTGCCACAGCTGAGGGAATATAAGACAACTAAAAAACAAGTTAGAAAACAGCAGAGCAATATCCAGGCAGGAAAAAAAAATGTTTAAAAACAATGAATCAGTCATCAACTTGAAACCCTTGGATCATTTTCCTCTCTCTTTCCATCCATTTAGAATCTCCACATGAAGAAAAGACTTTCCCATGCTTGGAAAAATTTTAGCCAAAGTAGTGGGTGCCGACAGAGTAATGGATACCCATGCAGAGAATATAAAATTATTTTAAGAGATTCTAATTTTAACTTTCTCCAGTATGAGTACCCATCACGCCATCACTGTAATACATATAAGACACAGAAGAAAGGTGGCAGATTTGGAGGATTTCAGAAAAATCCCTGTCACCCCGTCTCAAGTCTTAGTAGAATCAGGGAAAAGGAAGACTTGGGGATTTTCACCTAAAAGCTGTCATAGATGAACAATTAGAAGGATTTCTCATTGTCCAGGAAAAAAAAAACCAACACATAAAGTCTGGTTCACTAAGAAGTAGTCAAGATTACAGTTGCTGTTTCCCAACTAATAGTTGTAGTCATTTTAGTTGTAGTCTTTTTTGAGAAAAAGAAGGGAAGAGTAACTAGTACTGTCAATTTAGTAAGTAAATAAATTAAACACAAAACAGAGAGTATATCCACCATCCATGTTGAAGATGCGTATAGATGACAAAATTTCACTGTCATTCTCTTGCATTTTTACATGTAATGGTCCTAGGTTCCTATGGCATTCTTGGAAGAAGATAGCATAACACGCTGGTATTAATTCCAGAAAATGATGACTTTGATGCTTTTCCCTGGCATTTGCCTTGAATTCACAACAAACTGATGCACGTTACTAGCATCATTCCTGAACGGATTAGAAATGTCTTCTTGCTTGAGCATTATGGAGATTTCCAGGTGAAAGTTACAATCTCGTGTAACTTCTCTGTACTGGGGATCATCTTGACTTTGAATTTCACAGTACACAGAAAAGATGTATCCTGTCAAAGGAAAACATGAACTCTAGAAATTTAACTAAGAACCTGCTTCGGTATTCAATTTCATTTGTCTTTCCTAAAGAATCTGGCCAGTTGTCTTCATACCTGCATCTTCTCATTATCTCCTGATTACGTGACCCATGAAAAGGTAAGCATGAATGAATCAGAGCAGCTAATCACAATTAGACACTGGTATTCTAAAATCTCAACTAAAGAAGACCAAAAGGCTCTGAAGAGCTTGTTGCCTTCAAACTTCAGGAATGCTAAGTACCAAATACGTGTTTTAAGGCCAAAAGATAGAAAGAAGAATTAATTTCTTGAATGACCCTCCAAAATGAAATTGGCTTTGCAAGTAATCAGCCTCAAATTTGCCAAGTAGCATTCTAGGAGAAAGTCTTTTGTTTCTTTTTCATACTTTGAAAATGTTCAACATAATTATTAACAACTAGAATTAGAACGATGCCTTGAGATGATAAATTGCTATGCTCTTGTTTTCCAAGGTCAGTCTGAAAAGATAACAAGGAGGCAGGAAAGAAGAATCTCAGAATTCTAGAAAAACTACTCTGATTTTTCAGTGCCTTTGACTGAATTTGGAACAGCACAACCACAGGCAAAGTCCTTTGGTCTCCTTTTGGCAGGGACATGTTCCTGAGCCACAAAGCTTGAATTCAAGATGAAGAAACAAGCTTTTGTTTTTCTGGATGGCATCAGTAAGATATTTTCTGGCATTCTTGGACCTGAAGAGGCAAAGATGTTGTGGACCTCTTAAAATATGCAGCTCCATTAAAATTCTCAACTCTTCTATTACTACTGAGTTTGGAGATACATATTGATTAGACACAATCTATTGTTTACTTGCCATCATACCCATCTTCATAAACTGGAGACACACTTGTGTGCACTGCTGGTTTTAGAGGTCTTGCCAATATAATTCTACAGGTCACATCATATAAATAAGTCATGGTGAACTGGATATTTTGTAGCTTCACGCAGAATCTCCACTTCAGAGCTCTATGACATTTCTTAGTGCAGATATGGAAGGGGATGAATGACAGTCAGGACTATAAGATCTGAGAAGAAATCATCTGTCTTTGCTAATAATGCAGCAGAAGAAAGCTCCAAGTCCATTTCATAGAACATACAAATTCCTTTGGAGTCTTTTCTCCATATGCAGCAGTAGTGTCTTTCCTAAGATGAATGTGGTGTTCACCAAGGTAGAAGAAGGAGTAAATTAGAAGTTAAGGAAAAAATGAACAATTTTGAAATTCTTATGGAAATTAATTTTATGTTGGTCCTCTTCTTTTTTAATTTAGTTCTAGACATCAGTCTTCCACTTATTCTTGTCTGAAATACATTTTTTTCTTCATTTTGAACAGTTCTCAGATAGGAAAGGATTATCTTCATTATTCTCACAGAGAAATAAGATTCATAAACATGCTCACTTTGCTCTGCAAGGGAATCATATCTGAGTAATCCGATTTCAACTGGTTTCAGAGTTGTTCATTCCTCCAATGGTGACTGCGCATAATGCTCTGTAGGACTGACCTTCTCTGCTTGGTATTGATTATTATCCAATTCCTTCCTTCCCTGTTAGAATGCAGAAAAGCAGAGCTGTGTCGGGCAGTACTTCTGGGGTTTTCTATAAACAGCCCTAATGACAGCAAGGAAATACCTCAAGAAAATTATGGGATATTGGAGAATTGAAAAGTAATACCTTTTAAATAGCCTGCAGCTATTTAGCTAGTAGGTAATGTGAGGCATCAGAACACTCCAGTCCCTCTGAGCTGAAACACATAATTTTTGACTTGCAGAAATGATCCAAAGAAGCCCTTACAGACTGCAAAGGAGGGTGAGACAAGAA